CCTGCATTCGTTAGTTGGATGATATCGATTTTTCCAACCTAGTTCTTCACATATAAAACATGGTTTCTTAATTCTTGGATCAATATTTTTTTCTGATGTATTAAAATTTGACTTTATTTTTGGATAAATATTTTTTTCTGATGTAGCAAAATTTGACTTATTTATAGTTTCATTATTCAAAGAATGAATTCCATATCTTGCTTTTTGGTTTTCTGACTTAATTTTAGTATCTGCATTGTTCTTTTGTATATACGCATTTGTTTTGATTGTATTTTCTTTGTCTGAAGAATTGTTTCGGAATCTTTGTTTTATGTGAATGCTTTCCTCGAGTCTTCGCAATTCTCTGTACAATTTTTCAATCGTTGTGATTTCTTCACGGTCAAGTTGGTTCTGAATTTCTAGTGGTAAGCCGATGACGATCATATTTATTCTTGATATCGTAGTGGCGTTTAATTCAGCTTCTAAACATAAGCTTTCCTTGGCTAAAGCATAATCTATTAGTGAACCGCCTAGATATTTAAAATTGTATGCCGTTCTTATTTTTTTCCAACCTTTATCAGCAAATACTGTGAGAAACGATGCTCTCCATTCTGACCAATTAGTTAAACCAATTTTTATTATATTTGCGTCGTACCAATTTTTTGCTGAACCTGATAAAAAAAATCGAAGTGCTTCTATCATATTGGTAGCGTCAAATATTTTGTGTCTTATACACTCGTTTTCAAATTTTTCTAGCCAATCGTTAACATTTTGACTTTTATTAAATTTGTCTAAAATAAACCTTTTTTCAACATCATGCAATTTAAATTTATTATCTAAATTTAATTTCGCTTCCAATTCTTTAATTTTTTCGATTAAAAAATTTTTCTCATCTGATTTATCAGCAACCACGTTTTCATTACTTATATTAGCTTCTTCTAGTGGCATGTTTAAAAAGCATAAATTGCCGTCTTCGTCATAATATTCTTTTCTTAATTCGTCATCAATCGTTATGCCAATTTTGCGGTAACCATTAATCGGTTTTATTGTCATAATTGTATTTTTTATCACTCGCTTTGAGCATAAAACTTTATGTTCAGCCAAATCTTTATAATCATCGGGCAAATTATACCACGCTAATTTATTTTCTGACAAAGCCGTCAATTCGAAATTATCGTTTCTTTTTATAATATAAAAAAATAACTTATCTGAAGACATCTTCTCTTTCTTTCTTTCTTTCTTTTTTTTTTTTTTGGAATATAACTTGTAATTGATTTGTAAGATTGTTTCTAAATAAACCTGATTTATTAATCTGTAAAACAGTTTATTCAAACAAATTAAATGTCATATAATCAAATAATATAAAATAATACAGAGATATAAATTAAAGAAAACATACCTGTAAAACAGTAATCAATTACAGGCTTATTCATACGAAACTCATAAATCAAATAAATTATAAAATATGTCAATCACGTGGTGCAGCACATTTATCGCAGCACATTTATCGAAGCACATTTATCGAAACCCAAACAAAGATCAAACATATATCAAAGATATTGAATATCATAGATATGAAATAAATACATAAATGTGGTTACATTTACATATATATATAATTTATCTCGAGCTGATTCATATAAGGATTCAAGAGAAGATTGTAGAACCTTACAAATACTATTATTAAATAATAAAAATTTCTAAAATTTTAAAAATTGTACGTTGAAATTACTACTACTACTACTACTACTGTTACGACGACTACTACTGCTACTACTACTGCCACTACTACTACTACTACTACTATTACGATTTCTACTGCCACTACTACTACTGCCACTACTACTACTACTACTACTACTACTACTACTACTACTACTACTACTACTACTACTACTACTACTATTACGACTACTACTACTGCTACTACTACTACTGCCACTACTACTACTGCCACTACTGCTACTACTACTATTACGACTACTACTACTGCTACTACTACTGCCACTACTACTATTGCAACTACTACTACTACTACTACTCATAGTAATAATAATAATAATAATAGCAAAAATGTATAATAACAATAGCAACTATAACAATTATAACCCAATGGAACCAGTTACAAAAAGAACACTGACGACGCTAAATAGGACAGGTCAGCTGATCACAATACTTATCTTCATCATTGCTGGACTTCTGACGGTTCGTATAATTAATTAATTAATTAATTAATTAATAATAATAATAATGTTAATAATACTAATCAAAATAACACTATTACTACTACTATTATTGATGCTGCTACTGGCATTGAAGCCGCTGCCACTACTACTACTATTGCTACAACTGCAGCTACTTCTACTACTACTACAAATACTACAACAACTACTACTACTACCACTACTACTACAACTAATAATAACAATGAAAACTAACAATGGATATGAAATTATTTCAAAAACAGATATTCTCAATCCTGTCCATGTCTTACAGCATAGTGCAATACACCAGAGAAATTTATTTCACATCGACAGTCTTTGGTAACAACATCATGGCCGATTCCCTAATCGTCGCCCTGACGGCGGCAGCCATTTTGTTTTTATCCGGAATTTTTGGAATGGTTGGCTTGATTGGGTCGAAAAAATTTGTCATTTTAATGGTTGGTCGATCCATTAAATATATACATAATGATTAATATGTATATATTTATTTATTATAATTAGCTCTGTAATATGCAAATGAGATACCTAATTAATATTCACGACATGCGCAGTACGTTATCATGTTGGGGGCCGCATTCATCCTGTTCCTTACGTCGTTATCACAGAGCGCTGCATTCATTTTTTGGGTAAGATGGATTGAATGAATGAATGAATGAATGAATGAATGAAAGAATGAATGAATGAATGAATAAATATCAAAATGAATGAATAACAAAATGAATGAATGAATGAATGAATGAATGAATGAATGAATCAATCAATCAACCAATCAACCAATCAACCAATCAACCAATCAACCAATCAATCAATCAATCAATCAATCAATCAATCAATCAATCAACCAACCAACCAAAGCACTCGAAAGAAGTACACGAACATATGAGAACTACTTTAAGCACAAAGTACGGTGTTGATAATGACGACAAGATCACTAAAGATTGGGATGAAGCGCAACATAAAGTGGCGATGATGATTATGATGATGGTGGTGATGACGGTGATGATAATGATGACGACGACGATGATGATGTTTCTTAAGTGTTTCTTAAGTGACGATGACGACGATGATGATGATGACGATAATAATGATGGTAGAAACACTTAAGATTAGATTGAAGAGTAGTTTAAATAAATCATCAAGACATCATTATCACCACTACTACTAACATCATCACCATCATCATCATCATCATCAGTGGTACTGTTGTGGCGTTGAAGATGAAAGCTGGGGTGTGTATCGCTCGTCTGCCTGGTATTTAAATCAGTCGGGAATTCCAGGTTTTGCTTTCGAAAAATAGAATACAATAAAAACAACAACAACAACAATAATTATAATAATTATTATTGTTATTATTATTATTATTATTATGATCATTTGAAATTATGATAAGAAATAAGAGTAATAATTAATGAATAAAGAACCCAGACAGAAAAACCATTACAACAACAACAACAAAACAATACTACTACAGCTACAATAACAACAGTAACAATAATAACAATAACAACAACAACAATAATAATAAAAATCACCATAGAATAATAATAATATTCACCACCATAGAATATACAAAACCGTGGGTGCCATTGAGCTGTTGCGTCACTAATCAGTACGGTCGGATTACTAATTCCAGGAAGTGTCAATTCTTCCTTGCTGGACCCCCCTCAAAACAGAGTGGCCAGTTTAACGAGGCTGTCTACTACAGGGTGCTGATGATGATGATGCTGATGGGGGGGGGTGGTGATGATGACGATGATGCTGGTGATGATGACGATGATGGTGATGATGATGACACGATTTGTATTCAGAAATTTTGAAATTGGGAAACGGAAGGGGATGGGAGGGAAAACGCGGGAAAGAGTTAAGGAAATAAGGAATGGGAATTTTAGGAAACGCTGTCATGCATGGGAGTTATTCGGGAGGTAATCGGGAATGAGAAAAAAATGGAATATAATTGGGAGCATATTTCAATTTCCGCTCGCCTACACCATCATCATCATCTTCAACACCATCATCATCACCACGATAATTACTATAATCATTATCATCATCACCACCATCATCACAATAGTTACTATAATCATTATCATCATCACCACCATCATCATCATCACCACCATCATCACCATCAACACCACCATCATCACAATAGTTACTATAATCATTATCATCATCACCACCATCATCATCACCACCATCATCATCATCAGGGCTGCTATATGGCGGGAAAACGTTCGATGGGTGAGATAGGGAAATTCATCATCGCCTTCAATTTAGTCATGTGCCTGCTATTGGTCAGCCTACAATGATGACGATCATTATTATAATGATAACATCAATAATGCTACCACTATTACTACTACTGCTGCTGTTGCTGCTACTACTGCTGCCACTACAACAGCAACTGCTACTACTACTACTACTAATACTAATAATAATAATAATAATAATAATAATAATAATATTTAAATAATAATATTTCAAATTTTTTTACCTGCAGATCGTTCAGATGACAATGACGATTTGGTTTTACTTCACACATACTTGATGAAGGCACGCACACACACACACACACACATACATAGACATACACACACATATATATATATATATATATAGAGAGAGAGAGAGAGAGAGAGACACACAAACACACACACAAACAAAACCCACGGATAATATTATAAAAACAGTTGGCTTAAATTTATGTTTCTCGATGAAATAAAACTGTAAAAAGATAAATGCGTTGGTGTTATGTAAAATTTATATTTTCCGGTTGTCATTACTACTACTATTACCAATATTACTACTACCAATACTACTACTACTACCACTACTGCTACTACTACTGCACTACTATTACTACTGCTTTTATAACTACTATTACTACTACCGCTACTTCCGCAACTACAATTTTTATGACTTATGTGACGATTAGGTTTACTGCTACTAATGTTACTATAATTGCTGCTACTGCTGCTACTACTACTACTACTACTACTACTACTACTACTACTACTCTTACTACTGCTACTTCTTTTACTACTACTACTTCTACTACTACTACTACTACTTCTACTACTACTCTTATTGCTACTATTACTATTACTTCCTCTACATCCATAGCCCACTCAAACCAAACATCAGAAACTTCAACCCTGTAATCATTGTCATCATCATCACCATCATCATTACTACTACCACTATCATTATCATCACATCATCATCATTATCACTACAATCATCCCCATCATAATTACTACTACCACTATCATTATCATCACATCATCATTATTATCACTACAATCATCATCAGCGAAGTCGTCATCATCACTATCACCACATCTACATTATGTGAAGACCATTTAAATACAGCAGCCCGTACCCAGTACTCTGCTCATTCATTAGTGGTTAATAATAATAATAATTATTATTATTATAAATAATAATAAAATTATTATTATGCTATCGCTAGCGATTTTCTCGTTGTGGCTGCTAGTCGCGAGCGAAGCGGCGAATGTGGCGAAAGAAGTCGCGATGACCGAGTCTCAAAAGCAGTACATTGTTTTGTTTCATAATGACGTGAGAGATGATTTGAGATCTGGAGTACCAAATTTGGTCAGTGGCCATTGTTGTTATTAATAACCAATCACAAATAACCAATCACAATTAACCAATCACAATTAACCAATCACAAATAACCAATCACAAATAACCAATCACAATTAACCAATCACAATTAACCAATCACAAATAACCAATCACAAATAACCAATCACAATTAACCAATCACAATTAACCAATCACAAATAACCAATCACAAATAACCAATCACAATTAACCAATCACAAATAACCAATCACAAATAATCAACCATAATTTGTTTTAATTATTCGTAAATATTTATGACCATAATTATTCATAATTTTTCATAATTTGCCCCTCCTACCCAAGGTATGGGACGCCAAATTGGAGGCGGCCGCGAAAGAATGGGGTAAGAAGTGCATTTATGCCCCGGGCCCTGATAACCTTATGAAGGACATATCACAGAACCGCGGGATTGGTCAGGCATTTTGAATTTAAAATTTTTTTAAAATTCTGGTTTCTACGTTTCGACTTTTAAATTTTTCGATTTTAATTAACTTATTAGCCATCTATGACACCTAACCACTCAACCAATCAACTAATCAATCAACTAATCAATCAACTAATCAACCAATCAACTAATCAATCAATCAGCTTATCAATCAATCAACCATCCACTAATCAAACAATCAGCAAAATAATCAACCAACAATTCAATCAATCAACCAGCCAACAAATCAATCAATAATTCAATCAACCAGCCAGCCAACCAATCAATCAATCAATCAACCAGCCAACCAATCAATCCATCAACTATCCAATCAATCAATCAATCAACCAGCCAATCAATCAATCAATCAACCAACCAACCAGTTTACAAAAAAGATTCAGTTGACATGATGCTGTACGACGTGTTAAAAAATTGGCAGACAGGGCAGCAGATTTACAAGGGGACCGCCTTCACTTCACCAAACACTTACTCAGATTATACAGCTGTAAGTCATGATGAAGACGATAAGGATGATGATGATGAGGATGGAATGTTGATTGTTGATGATGTTGTAGTGTAGATGATGATGATGATAATAAAGTTCACGTTGCATCTATTTGTTTATTTATTTAGACAGCCTGTCAGTCGATCGATCACTCATTCAATCATTCAATCATTCATTTATTCATTTACTCATTTACTCATTCATTCATTCATTCATTCATTCATTCATTCATTCATTCATTCATTCATTCATTCATTCATTCATTCATTCATTCATTCATTCATTCATTCATTCATTCATTCATTCATTCATTCATTCATTCATTCATTCATTCATTCATTCATTCATTCATTCATTCATTCATTCATTCATTCATTCATTCATTCACCCCCTAGATGATTTGGAGGGATTCGAGCAAGATAGGTTGCTCCCTCTTTCAATGCACACCCCTGTTCACTAAGGACGGAAAAGTTGAAGCCAACAGCGAAGATTTGCTTCAACTCGTCTGCAATTATTCACCCAAGTATTATCCATTTCTTCGTTCATTCATTCGTTCGTTTGTTCGTTCATTCATTCATTTGTTCGTTCGTTTATTTTTTCGTTCGTTCGTCTTTTTTCGTTTGTTCATTCGTTCATTCATTCATTCGTTCATTCATTCATTCGTTCGTTCGTTCGTTCGTTCGTTCATTCATTCATTCATCCGTACGTACAGGGGAAACATAGAAGGCAAACACCCATACAAAGTCTAAATGGACGAGAAGAATAATAGTAACAATAATCACACACACAATAAAAAAAGTTATTATTCATTGTTTGATATCTATATTTATTGAGGAGTTCAAATAAAATTATTGTCACGATTAAAAACTAGTTCAGTCAGTATCTGTGTTTGTGTGTGTGTGTGTTTGTGTGTGTGAGGGAGGAATAAAAAAGGAGAAAGAGAGAGAGAGATAGGGAGAGAGAGAAAGAGAGAGAAGACAATGATGATGATGATAATGATGGTTAATTTTTAAACCAAAAAAAAACTAAAAAATTATTAGCAATGTTTGTCGTAACAAGTTCAACATTAGCGAAACAACACAAATGTTTATCGGGGGACATTTTATTTAAAAAAAACCTAAAAAGTAACATCACTACTATTACTACAACTACTACTACTGCTACTAAAACTACTACTACTGCTACTACTACTACCACTACTACTGCTGCTGCTGCAACTACCACAACTGTACTGTAGCCATCAGAGCCATCGTGATAATTGTCATCATCGTCGTCATCTCCTTGCGAATTGAATAAATACAAAACCCGATAACCATAAAGATTTTCGAAATTCACACCTGTTATCATCAAATAATTAATTATTATTTAGCTATAACGAATAATAATAATAATTATTATTATTAATAATTATTATTATTGTTAGTGTCTGTAAGCAAGTTTGTTAATTAATTAATTGACTAATCGATTCTTTGAAACAACAACTCAACAAAAATTATGCCATCCAAATTGAAAAACGTTTTCAGAAGTCTTGTTCTTTTAAACATTTTGTCGGCAGCTGTCACCAATCAAACAGCTGTTGTAGCAGTTGAAAAAGCAGCTACAACAGCGGCAAAAAATAGCCACCTCAAGCCAAGAAATGGCCGGTTTGAATTAAAAGTGACCACTGAGAAATGGAACGAGATACTGAACTTCAATAATAAAGCTAGGGCACAAGTTGGAGTAGAAAATTTAGTTAGTGGGTTTTTATATTATGAAAATATCATTTCATGACAATTATGAATAAACTTGATCTGCGTGTGATAGGCTATAGGTTTTTAGTGGGTTGTATTTGTTTGTTTGTTAGTTGTTCGTTGTTTGTTGGCTTGCTGGTTGGTTAGAAGGGGTGAAGCCATTTTGCCTTCGAAATGACCCAATCAAACCAAACTCGACCGATAACCAACCAATCAACCAATCAACCAACCAAAAAATCAACCAACCAATCAACAAACCAATACCGTAGCAATTGTAACAGACAGTCTACTCGTTATAAACATGCTAATGAGCTCTAACAACGAGAACCCAGATAGCATTCAAATGGTGGAGAAGATAAACAGTCATGAAGCACGTATAAAACTTGTAGCTTGGAAACAAAAGCCTTGTGGAGTTGAGGCAAACGAAGAAGTAGAGAGGCCGGCAAAAGAAGGCAG